CGCGGAGAGACGAACGGACGTATAATCTTCACAAGATAAAGAGAGATAGGGTGGTACAGCAGGAGGAGAAGTTGGGAGGAGAGAGAGAGAGCGAGAGAGAGAGAGAGAGATCCTCGTGGTCACGATGAGGGTGGGGGCAAGGTGGATCGTGGATTGAGTCATTATGCTTGCTCGGAGGAGACCACAGGCCTTGATGCGGGAACGGCTGCCATCGACTCGTGAAAGGAAACCGACCGGATGATTCAACGCGTACAGACAGACAAAGTAGTCGCGGTGTCTACTATATACTGCTCGGTATCTTTTCCTCATTCAGTTCAGCGTCGTCGTTTCCTCTCCTGACTATTTCTGCTTCTACAATCGACTTTGGTCAGATGGACAGAGATAAGTCATAGAACGTTCATCAAGTTCGATCGCGGATGCACGCGAGAGAGTTTGAAGCGAAAGACGAAGATAAACGAGATCCTCGATCCCACGTTAACTCATTATCGGCAAGTTCTGTGCTCGCTCTCCCAGAAAATTAATGGGACAGCAGATTCACATGCGCGAATATCCTTCATATCTTCCGTTCTTCTACATTCGGGCCTATTGTCCCTATTACAATTAATTCCTGCTTCTCTCATTGAATCAATTGTCTTCTTCTTGGCACAATAAATATTTTATTTGTAGAACAAATAATTTTATTTTGATCTCTATTTTTAAAGATCTTTTTTTTTCTTTCTATCTCGGGCAGTGAAAGTCTATGACGATTTAACATTGTTCATCCGATGAAAGGGAAGCTCTCGAGTCACACAACGCCGCTAACATCAGCACGTACCATAATATTATGACATCAGGCCGGTCCTGACTGGTTTAGTATCGATGCTATTACCGGGGCTAATCCGCCACCGGATTTTATCTCGTCCCCAATACAAGCCAAATGAGAACAAGATTTTAACGCGAGTCGCTACGAAGAAGAAAGGTAAGAAGAAGCACGAACTAGTAGAAACAGGTTCGGAAAACCACAGGTACGTCCCTGCGAGAAGTCAACAGAACCTGTAGATCCTGTTGGCCGTTTTAGATCGATCACCCGGTTCTTAGGAAGGATTAAAGTATCTTTTGACAAGTCATTTTTGTCCGTTCGCTTCAACCTTTCTTCAAGGCAAGGAAGCGAACGAAATAGATTTCGACGTTGATTGTAGTTTTATCTATCTCGAGTCATAAAACCAGAAATTAATTTCAGACATCAGACATTCAAATCTAATCTCCTCGGGATAATAACTGATGTATAATAATAAAATTGCAATGAAAGATATTCTCACAAAAATCACAAGTATTTATTTGAATATATTGTCGCATCAAGTCTCTCTCTCTCTCTCTCTCTCTCTCTCTCTCTCATCGAAGAAAAAGAAATCAATTATATAAAAATTGTTAGAAGGAAGAAAAATGATCAAAATTAAAAACTTATTGTTAGTCAAAACTGATTTAATAAGAAACATGCGATAAGAGATAAAATATTTTCTTTTAATTGATGTGAACGTAATGATGTATTTATTATAGGCGCTCAACTGTTTATAGGATTAGAAGTAATTAATAAAAGGAAAAATCTGTCTTCTATTTTAAGCAAATAAATAACTTGAGTCGCGCGAGTAGATAATTAAATAATTTAGCATGCATCAAGCATAGTTATTAAATTTCCTAAGTAATAATACGTGTCTTATATTAGCATTTCGTGCGTGAATAAGTAGGAGAAGGTAAATATAGTGACACGAACATATAATAAAGTCACTTGATTAAAGAGCCTTCGCAAATCGCATTTCACTGGCGAGAGGAGGATAAGCATTAAAGGTCCGTCGTGTCCTGGCGTAATCACGAGCGTTAATATTCTTCGCGCGTGCGTGCATACACGCGCGAGTACTCCTACGTGAGTACTCGACTGCGCGCGGTTCGATGAAAAGCCGCTCGGGTGTGAAAATCATCATCGCCGTTGTCTTCGTAACGACGCGGAACGCATCGAAGAAAAATGTACGGTCAGCTGAAATATACTCTGAGAAGTTCATTAGCTCTCTTAATGCGTGAGGGTGTTGCGTGCTGTTGCGTGGCACGCGTGGGGTCGCGGCGCACGGCGAACAGCGGGAGATGGTAATTTGCGGCGTAATTTAAAGGAGACTTCATATACTTTCACGGGCATTACGAACGCTCCACTTGCGATTCGCGTAACCGCACGTTCACGTATCGCGACCCTCGCCTCGCACATGCACGAAAGTGCGTATATACGCAATGCGGAACGGATCTTTATAATCTTGTCGCATTTGTCTGTCCGTTTAAATTGCCCTCTCAATTATCGGGCGTGTTAGGCATATTCGCTAAATCACCGATAATAACAATGCGTGTGCATTGAAAACGTATAACTCTTCGCAAAATTGTATATTGCGTATGGCATCGGTTTCGCAAGTGTCCATTACTCACTCTGTAACTTTATAGTAGGTTCGTGTATGATTTAGAAAGAACTCGATTAAACCGGTAATTTTATGTCTTATTTAGCTTTATCGGAACCCCAACTATTTAATAAAGAAATATGATATGCAAATGCTATACATGACACTTCAGATAGATACCATGATTATATAATTGAATCCAATTCCTATCGATTACATTCATATGTATCGTACAAATGAGGAATGCTTCGCTATCTTTATAAAGCAACGGAAAAGATAGATGTATGAAAAAACATATTTTTAGTTTATACAAATTATAAAATTATTCTTGTCTTGAGCAAATCTAAAATTTCTATTATTTTTCTTGAAAAAGA